GTATATGGGAGAGACCGCAGACGGTAGGAGAAACGAAAGACCGCTCGATTAGGGAGACGCAGACGCGTCCGCAGTCTTTGCGTGCGACGAATTGCCTATACCAAGTTTTTGGAAGCATTCATCAAAAATAAGTTCAGACCACAATGTACAACATAAAATAGCTCGTGCGTGGAAAAAGACGCAAAGTTGCCCGATTCATATAGCATCACCATAGCGTAGCCATATCTCTTCAGAGTGGATAAATTCTTACTCCAAGGGCACCATTCTGATTCGTGAAATGTGCCGGCACTTCTACATACTAGAAGAGTCGAGCTGAATTGGGCCTCCTTATCAAGAATTTGTCCACTCAGTGAGTATGGTCACGACAGGTGATGCCACATAAATCGGACGATCGTGTCTTTTTTCATAAACTACGGGCGGTATCGTATTTGTGCCTGCCGGCTGATCTACGCTGGTTTCGAGTCTCGCAGTCTGAACATTGGTGATTGACCCATATGATACCTATCACCCAAGCATCGTAGGTAGAGCCGTCGAATCCGTGACTGATCGTCCAGAGACTTGAATTGATGTTGTTGGGATCATCTACTGTAGTGCAAAGTTTGTGAAGCCAGTTTTAAAGCCCAAACCTTAGCTTACCTGGTGGGCGTACCGGGACTAGAGGCATGTATCCTATAGTGAATTCTAGGGTACCAAATCCAAAGAAATTTCTACTATTTTTTCCGATCAGATATCTTCTGAAGTATGCACTAAAAAACGCGTGGTCACACGTTGTTATACATGTTGTAATGTCACTACCATTCTCGCCTTTCTTCAACTTTGATCTCCGCGCTGTCAAAAACTGCTACAGACATACTACCATCCCTGATGGTGTACGGTCCATCGCTAAACAAACACGAGGCAATCAAGAGACAAGGTCAAGAAAATAACGATAATACATCATTCTTCTCTCTCCGGCTCTCCTTTGAAACGCTCTAGCGAAATTTACGGGATCTACGGTTGGATCGGGTACAGGTGCATCCTGCACGGCTAACGCCTAAATGGAAGATACTGCTGGCTTTTTGGAATCGAAGCAGAATTTGCGGGTACGCTTACGTCAGAGATAGTAAGCA